ATCGTTGTTAGCGGGCCTGAAGTTCGCTCCATCACCTTGCTGGTGTACATCAGCTGATGCCTGGGTACAGGGAATGTCATCATTCTCATATGTCCTGATGGTGGACTCAGGGCTGGCGTTGGGAGGTTCCACGGGGGTTTGCAGATACATCGGATTGGGGTTAACGTCGTTTCTGACGTCCATCGGATAAGGGTTGATGGTGTTATGTGGGTAAATCGGATTTGGATCACTGGTTGGTACAGGGCTAACATTTGGCTCAATGGTGCTTTGTAGGTACATCGGATTGGGATTAACATCGTTTTGGGCGTCCATCGGATAAGGGTTCATGTTGTTATGTGTGTACATCGGACTTGGATCCCTGGCGTGCGTTTTGATGTCGTTTCCCGAATGGGCATTCTTGTCATGTCCATTTTGGCTATTGGGGACTGGTTTTGCTCCCTGAAAGGGTTTACCTTCCGCCTTTTCTACACTTTTCTCCGCACAGATGTAATGGCCCTTGCATATGTATGCAATGGCGTATGTATCAAAATCGCCAGGGCTGATTGTCTCTCTGTTGTCGATCTCAAAAGCAGCATCGTTTTCGATAGACTGTGGTTCATTGTCCTCATCGCGTTCACTTTCCTCACATTTACCAGAGATGTTACTCTCAGCATCTTCGTCAGCTTGCTTCAAGTTTGATGACACGGTTTCTGCCAAACTTTCACTCAGGGTGTCGTTTCTGACGACCATTGGTATGGCGTTGAAAGAAAGGTCTTCATCCATTGCCCCGATACTTCTTAAAGACACGCTAGCATAACAGTAAGACAACTTACTTTCACACAGTCACTAAACAACATAGATATGTATGCATGTATGTTTACTATGTTTAAGTAATAACAATGCTTAAGTGCGCTAACACCCCCCCCCCACACACACACAACAGGCAGAAAAAAAACAAGACAGCTTTAAGAAGATAATGTCCTTCATGCTGCGATGATGATGATGATGGCTCATCACTCGTCATTGCTCAGTATGATGAATTGATTGGTTGTCATAGGTTAGCACACTTTCACAACATTTATTCTGAATTCTATATGACCTTGTACATTGCATGTCCGCTGAAAAAGACGCTGACGTTTGGTAACGTCATGGCCAGACAAAATCAATCAATTTCTATGTAGATGAAGCAGCCCACGTGTCATCTTCTCATACCAGACAATGCATACAAATGCTAAGACTGTAGTACATGTACCGGCTTTGTATCGGCGTGGGTTGCAACAGACATTTTGTTTTATTTGAAGGTGTTTTAGCGGTTCATCACATACTGATACGCTACCTGTTTCTGGACTAGCTTTAGATTATTTAGTCACAAACTTTCAATTTGATCTTAGTGAGGAATATATGGGAATGCTTCAAACAGCAAGAGGAACGTTGTCTTGTTAATATTTATGGTGACAGTTGTGTTTAAATTATATCTCAGGTTCATTTTTTGGTTTTATATAAGATAAAATGTACAATCTTGACATACAATGTACAATTTTGACATAAAATGTACAATTTTGACATAAATTGTACAATTTTGACATAAAATGTACAATTTTGACATAAAATTTACAATTTTGACATAAAATTTACAATTTTGACCGTTGTTGTATTTCATTCATGAAAGAGAAAACAAAATTTTATACTCAAGTAGAAGCTATCATCCAAACTGGAATGACTATTCACACACCTATTCAGGGACCAGAACCGGGCTGTCTCATTTGCATGTGGAGAAAAGTCAAATATATCATCCGATTTACTCAATACTATTTTGGTTCTGAGAATGCGCAAAATACCGTTTCAGGGGGATTTACATGTAAATTTTAACGCTGTAAATTTTAAGTATTAACGCTGGTTAAGCAATGTCTGGATGTTTTCTTAGCGGCAAAATTGTTGCTATAGGGTCAGTCGTGATACCGGAAATGCATTTTGCCTGGTTCTAGTGATTTAAGTATTGTGGAGATACGAAGAAGAAAGATGAAGACATACCGTATTTACGGCGAGGTTTCTGCCGGTGACTTGTCAGCAGGTTTAGGGTCGGCCTGACCTCAGCGGCACGATTGAGCTTACCTCCAAACAGATCTTTTGGTGTCTACAAAACTTCGGTGTCTACAGCTTCGCTGGCTATCAGAAAACGAAAACACTGTAAAATGTCCAGAAAAACGTCAAAAATAAGCGCAAATGTAAATCTCAGCTTGGAAAGCACAATTGAGACTCTGTGCCGGGAGATGAGAAAGGTATTGAATAAAAATGAAATATGCCCCAGACGTTATGACCCCGCAAAGGAGTCTGGTCTAGCACTGTATAAAATGTATAAACATTGTACTCCCTAAAATATGCCGTAATGGCCATAACATGAGGGGGAAACCTGTTAAATGTAATACGTGTGTGTAGAAAAGTGGTTTCTGTAGGTTGGCTTTATGGCTGTTGTTACATACTCAAGACAGAATTTTTTTCAGTTAACATCTTGAGTATGTGTATGTAACAAAAAGTTTCTATATGTTATTTTTCTATCTTTTTTAATCAAACAACATAGAAAATACAAGGCTGGGTTACCGGCAACTCTGGCAAATTGCTTACCACAGGCCTACCTGACAAAGAGGAATACCTACGATACGTCGGTGAAGGTTAGACATCCAGATAATTAGATACGCCAAAAAAAAAAGTTACTCAAGAAACTGGAATCATTATATACACATATACGAAGCCAATATTAAACGGTGTAAGATTGGCAATCTAAAAACATGACTCGGACTGGCGCTCCGAATCCCAAAAATCCCGTCTTTCGGAGCAAACTTTTAAAAAAATCAGTAACTTAACGTAAATAATTTCATTTTATTTTGACTGAATTTACCCTTCAATACTATTTGTTTATTTTCAAATGTTTTACGGGTAGTCTAAAATAGGCCAAAATTTCGTCTTGTAACCCGATACTTTTTCGAACGCCCCTAGCAATGGGAAATAATACCGTAGCAACAGACCGCCGTGTACTACTACAACTACTCATACTACTAGATGTAACAAGAAGATGTACAGCTTTACATATACAATCAAGCTATTGAAAAAAACGTGCATTTGGATCTAAATACACAAGAATAATCTGAAAAGAAAATGAATACAGAGCGTGAACAAGATAAAAAAGGCATTTATTCAAACCATCAGAAACAAAATGTTAAAATCAAACCAATGATAATGATGGGAACAATTAAGGTGACCAGGAACATACAATCATCATGAAAGTCTGGTCTAGTACGAAGATTTATCAACGTTTAGAATACAAGAAGTTGCCAAGCGAGGTCTTCTCAATGCCTCTATATTGTTGGCTACCTTTACATTATTTCAGAAACAGTAGAAATAATTAAAATATGTGACCAAAAATGCTCTCAGGACTTAAAGTTCAACTTCAGTTCAAGTCCATGGCATGATGGCACAGTAGCATATTTCTAAATAGGAGATTTAGCTAAGATGTAACAAGCTTACTGTTTGGATACTGTTACAATGTGGTGTCCGTATAACGACATCGGCAGACCTTTACCCATGATCATGGTGTCACTGTGCACATCATAACACTGAACTGTTGAGAAGGCTTCAATGTCATGATTAAAGATAATAGTTTCCCTACCACCAGTAATGTAGATCTCAGAACCAGACACAGTGGCACTGCAGTGAAACCAAGGGCACAGGCTATCAGCCATCTTCTCGTAAAGGTCATCTTCTGGAGTGTAGCAGAGGACAGAGTCCAACTGTCCACCGGCCAAGTAGATCTTGGAGTTGACAGTGCATGCTCTTACGTGTGTCAATGGCTTTGGCAATGGTTGGGCGAACGCCCACTCCTTTCGGGTGGGATTGTAGAACTGGACATTACCAGTTCTACTGAAGCCAAACCCAGTGCGGCCACCGAATACATAGATCTCTCCACAACACGTAGCTATACCAAAGCTGCTGACAGCCTGTTTTAGTGGTGCTACCTTTGCCCACTTGTTGGTCTTCTCATTGTACACTTCAACAGAAGATAGCCAACTACGATTCTCTCCACCAACAACATACACCTTTCCATTCAGAACCGTTATTCCATGATCTGCCCTCCCTTTCTTCAAAGACCCCATCCTTGTCCAAGAGTTCAGAGCTGGATTGTACCGCCATGCTTGGGACATAGATGTTTCCCCTCCTGTCACAATCACATCATTGCCAAGGACGTTTGCCGCACTCCCTTTACTGTTCTGTAGGCATTGTGGCAGTGGAGTGGTGTTTACGCGATCAAAGTGAAGATCAAGTTCAAACATATTACAGTTCACTGCTGGTGGATGGTATGATCCGGTTGTCATTCCACCAAGGATGAGTAGACCTTCTTGTTGAATGCGGCGAGGCCTTGAGTCTCTAGTTTGATCGTTGATGAGTTCATTGATCCCTGGAACTCCTGCGAACATCTTCCCTGTCTCCACGATGTTCTTGAGATACTTCCGGTCCACACTTGAGAGACAAACACACCCCAGCAGCTCCCAGAGTTGTTTAATTCGCTTCTTGAGATCATGCCAGATCCAAAGGATGACTGCATCCAACACTTGTTCCGCTTTCTTAGCATGAAGATCCTTGTCCGAGATGTACGTCTTCAGGGAGTCTATAGGCAGTTCAAGGAAATCCTCCGTCCTGCATACTTCTTCGAAATTCTTCAGAGCGTAACGTCTTGCCACAGCAGACAACTTCATACAAGACACCATGTCTGCCAAAGTCCATGTTGCCCAACACATGTCTGGACTCAAGTTGTTGCTTAGAAACCTTTCACAAGCATCTTCAACAGGTTTAACTTGAAGCATATTGGCTGCTATGAACTGTTGATGGACATTATCTGAGGTGATGTTGAACTTGGCCGTGTAAGCAAAGTCTACCAACAGTTGTAATGCCTCTGCACTCACCCCTCCGATGTCTATCTTGTCCTTGTTTTTCTCGCAGTGGTCTCCGCTAAACATGGCACGGAAGTAGTCAGAGCAGGCGGACAGGATCAGTCGGTGACAGGGGATCTCCTGTCCCTCTGCACACAGGGTCACGTCCACCAGGTAACCTGCTGACCTCAGCTGCTGCAAACGCTGAAAGAACTCACCTGGACAACAGACCTCCTCTGATTTAGCATCCATTGCTGAACAACAAAAAAAAGGGAAAAGGTGTTGGCAAAGTCCTTCTAAATCAGAATGAGGTGATCGAAATCTCAATGACAAGCTGTGAGTTATTGATCAGCCAATGACTTAGTCTTATTACAATGTATATACACATTCATTAGATATTGCTCACTTGTAATATACTATATTATATATAAAAAATACAATTGCATTATTTGTAATGCAACAGTTACTAAATGCAAATGAAGGGCCACGTCAACACATAAAAACAATGCTTTATACAACAATGATCGACATTAGGGTCGACGTCAAAATTGCGCTGCGCAATGGAGAGCAAAAAACGTCGTCCCTAGTTAATACCTTTGAAAATCCTATTTTCTCTTAAAATTCTGGTCCATGTTGGAGACATTTGGGTTTGAAGGAAGCCTAAACCTTCGTCGCAGGTAGGACAGGGTTTCACGCGGTTGGGCCTAAACCTTCCTATTTTGGTCAGTTTTTTACCAGTTTAGTAGGCGTAATGAGATATCTGTATGGCTCGGTCTTGCCTGCCCAGAGCGGACGGATACCAGAGAAAACAGGTCAAAGGTGGGCTTTGTTTACTATAATCAGTGTTCTGGGACTTTGAGCTGGTCAACCCCGTTTTCTTTCGATATTTGGGACGCAGACATTTTTTTTTTACTTTCTGGTGCATAAGAATTTTTGAGATTGAGATTTGAGGAGGTACTTTCATGAGGACTTCTTTCAGTGTATCTAACAATAGGTTTCTATGGCCACATGTAATAGTAACTGTCCATTAGCCTCCATACCCGTGCCATACTAGCTCTGTGCCAGGCAAGCCATTGGAAATACTTAGCAGAAAACTAAAATGCAACCAAAATACCTGTATAGAATCAGAAGACGAAAATACAAACAGAAAAATAAAACACAATCAGAAAACGAAAATACAACTAGAAACTAAAATACTGAGAAAAATAACTCGTATACAGAAAAAAAACTACGGACAGTAGACTAGCGAACGTTAGATATCGGCTGGTCACCGCTTGTCCCACCACACATGCACCTGAACAGACCGAACCTTTCCATCTCCCGGACTGGACCGCATTTTCCAGCAACCCGTTGTTGGAAAACTGACAATTTCTCCACCAAGCACCAACCCGTAGTTATAAATAAGCTAAAATAACGATACCCTTTTCTCGACAGGGAACAATACCTGAATCATAGCTCGATATGATTATAGACAATAATTGCGAAAGCAGCAGCATAAACTAGAAAGGCCGACATTTGCTTGGGAGCAAATGCAGCAGATGGCTTCACCACATCCCCCATACCGAAAATGGATCTATCCCACGATGGCTGCCAATAGTCTATACCCCCATGCAGCAATGGAATCTTCCAATGCCGGAAATAGCCAAAAAGCCCTATTTTACATAATTTTAAAGTGGTGTATGTCAAAAGCGTGAATGACATTCTTTGGACATGTGTCCAAGGTATCCCCATACCGAATTTCAGGTCATTCGGATTTAATATTAGGGCACAGGAGCCAAAAATGTACATTTTTGGTCCAAAAATAGCCAAAAAGCCATATTTTTCACAATTTTAAAGTGGTGTATGTTGAAAGCTTGAATTAGGTTTTGCAGACATATGTCCAACGTATCCCCATACCAAATTTCAGGTCATTTGGTTTTAGTACCAGGGCTCCAGATCCCAAAATGTATATTTTTTGGCTGAAAATGGCCAAAAAACCCAAATAAAACAATTTTTCAAAAAATGAAAAAAACGCGTCGGGGTATTGGCCCACTCTACGTCCATGCCAAATTTCAGGTCATTTGGCTGAAAAACGGCTGAGTTGAATCCCTTTAAAGAAATGGCAGGAGGAGAAAAAGAAGAAGAAGAAACATGAGGGAACACAATATGTCTTCACCACTTTGTGGTGAAGCCATAAAAATGGTGGTATGGGCCCCCCTCCCAACTTTCCAACTCGAGCTCAAAGTATTTCAGTGCACAAGTTTATAATTTCTGCAATTCATCAGCTACAATATACATTTGAACCACAGTTTAATATTGATATGAAGCCTCTAACGTCATAGATGTACTTACAAGTCTTTTTGGGGAGCCGGTTAGGTGGAGAAAAGCAGAGAACACTGCGAGCAAAGTTGAGATCCAACTTCTCCCAATCCACGTAGCCGAGTCAGCTTGGCCGCAATGCGCTCTGGGTAATTTCAAAGCAGATGTTCGGAGGGACAGGTATCTTTCCAATTATGGTGAAAGCATGAAAAATAAGCACTTTTAAATATATTTACCTTTATTTCAAACCTCCAACCTTTACCCTCAACTGTAAAGCTGGATTTGTCAGGTTTGTTTGGCTAAAAAAGTGCAAGGTCAACTCTGGTGTTCTGAAATTTTTAGTCTGGGTGAAAGAATCGACCTAAAAAAGTACGAAGGCCCACACGAACAAATCCAAATAGAGGCAAATAAACTTGGTACAGTATACGAATACGTCTACCATATACAACAGTGTGTGTAAAATTATAGTCTAAGAATTAATATTGTTTCTACGTAAACTATACATACCTTCGACAAGAATATTGTCTGACTGATGGAGTATGAGTGCAGTCTGGAGTGGGGATGGTATATACACAACAACGTAAAGTGTGGCATGGAGAAAACATCTAGCCAACAAACAAAGAAACAACTCTATAGCTCTTTTCGTCTGTAGAGCGACCACGCAGTTTCGCCCTGGTAGGGCATGTTGTTCGAGTAATGAATCAACTGGGAGATGAAGGAGGGTCTGCATGCCCTTTTTCGTTAACCGTTATGGGCTATTTTAATTTACCGTTAATCGTTGCCGGCCCGCTCTAATTTAACGTTAAGCGTTATCAGTATATTCCTCGTGAAGCGTTATGGGTCGTTTTAATTCAACGTAAAACGTTATTTGTCATCCTAAATTCAGCGTTAAGCGTTAATGAATAATTCTTCGTTACGCCTAATTTTGCCTTTCAAAGTGCAGGAAAATGCGTCACTGAAGGTTTAAAAATACAAAATTTCCCGGGGGAGAATGCCCCGGACCCCCCTACATTGCTCACGCCTTTGGCTCTCGACTCGCGCTTCTGCGCTCGGTCCCTTCGGCTCTAGCCAGAACCAGCTTTCCCGTCAATTTCTGGAAGTTTGCGGAGAGTTACAGAATTTTTTTTAACGAATCCGTCAACCTTTACAGGCAGATTAACAAAAATTTTGAGTAAAATATAAAAACCTTAGAAGGACCGACAAACACTCTCAACACCATGATTTGCCTCTCAAATGCGGGGAATTGCGTTTTTGAAGGCTTAAATTCCTATATTTCCCGGGGGAGCATCC